TGTTGTTGTTGTTGTTGTTGCGACGACTATTATTGTTCTTGGTGGAGGGAGGACCAGAGTTGATCATTTCAACAAAGCCAAGCAGTGATGCTTTGCTGGCTACACTATCAGTTTGTTTGTTTCTTTCATTCTGCTTTTTGTTGGGTGACGTGTCGACAGCACTGCTTGACCCACTACCATCGTTACTACTGCTTTTATTGTTCGTATTATAGGCAGAAGCCGAGGCCACAGCAGCAATAATCGGATCATCCTTATCATCACCATCATCATGATAGTGATGCAAGTGCATATTCCACATACATCGTAGCAAGACAATAATCACAACTCCAAACAGGATTGTAATAATCGTCATAATAACAGCTGTTATAAACCAGGATTCGGCATTGTGATCACCCAAGTTCTCGTCTGATGCAGTGCCTGTCGTGTGAGTACTAGTTGGTAGAGCATACGCGCTGGTTACGATGGATGAGGCAAAGAGGGTAGTAGCAGTGGTGGTTGTTGATTGACAAGTAGATGGAGATGGAGAGGGAGAAGGTGTCGGCGATGGGGAATCCGTTACCTGGACCATGGCAGGTACTTTTATTGCTTGAGATATAGTTGGATCGAATTTTCGTGCAGTGGTATCAAATGTACCTAAGATGTTGAAACTCTGATGTTAGATGTCTCTCAATATAAAGCATAAACAGTGTTACATGAAAAGCGAACTTAAAGCTGTAAATACTATTGTTGTAAGAGTACTCCTAACACTTTTAGTCCCTGTGATAGACGATGATCTTGTTCGACGATATCTCGTTGTTACAGTCTGTGATTGACTGCGAAGCATGCTCTATGTGCAGATCCTTTCTAGTTGGCTCTCATCTATATAGCCACTGAATGCCTGCACTCGTAGCTCTCTATACATTACTCTCTAGCAAACATATGTCGTCGTCGTAGTTTTGCAGCACGCTCGACAAAGTGTGTGAGAGAGATGTGAAAATTCTGACTATACAACGCGATTATTGGGGAAGTGCTACGTACAAATGAGATTTGGGATAAATATTAATAACTATTTTGCTGTGTGGATGTATGCTTTCGTGTTGTTGGGGGGTTCACTGTAGAAATGGGTTGATCTTCACTCCGATTTCGTTTGTGCTGTCATCAATGACTGGAGTTTCGGGCACTCGTGGTGTTTCTAATAGCGAGGATACAGTTAGAGATTACCTGGTCAAATGTTTTTTGCAAGTATACGTACTCCATCGTTTGGGAATAGTGGGCCTATTGGCTTGTTTCTGAAGAGAAGTAGGAAACACGGGCTTTGGAGCTTGTTCCTTTTCAGCAACGTTCGTTCC